TACTTTCTATACATGGGAAGCAAGATATAACCAATCTGTATAAATGACTATTTGTATATATATATGGTAATACTATTCTGTGATATTGATATAACCAATCTGTATAAATGACTATTTGTATATATATGGTAATACTATTCTGTGATATTGATATAACCAATCTGTATAAATGACTATTTGTATATGTATGGTAATACTATTCTGTGATATTTCTATACATGGGAAGCAAGATATAACCAATCTGCATAAATGACTATTTGTATATATATGGTAATACTATTCTGTGATATTGATATAACCAATCTGTATAAATGACTATTTGTATATATATGGTAATATTCTGCTCTTTCTTGTATTCTCGTTTCACGTTTTCAAACAGAAATTAAATTCAGATTAGAAGAAAGCATTTTTAAGCAGGAAAGTGAATTTTCGCAGCTCATATCTTATTAAAGTAATCATATCATAACGCTCTGTAGCCCAGGGATGTGACGTCAGTAGTGACGTAAGGAATCGAGAAGTATGGACATGAGAATACTTGTTATACAGAGCTTGAATACTTGAATACTTGTTATACAGAGCTTGAATACTTGGTTATATAGAGCTTGAATACTTGAATACTTGTTATACAGAGCTTGAATACTTGTTATACAGAGCTTGAATACTTGAATACTTGTTATGCAGAGCGTACTGGTTATTCGAAAGTACGAACACTTCATTTAAATTCGTTTTTGATAAGTATTTTCTGTTTTATTATAGAAACACAGTAATGGTGTATGAAATTTTATCTGACTTCAGTCTCAAAATGTTTTCTATTATATTAAGAACTCCAAGGAGAGTGGCTCAGCGGTAAATCAGTGGGCTTATAACGCTAAACATCGGGTTTCAATATCCGTGGTGAACATAGGACAGATACCTCGTTGTTTAGCTTTGTGCTTTACAACAAACACACAAACAAAGTAGAATAAAACTAACCAAATGTTTTTTGTTAAGAACAAAGCTACATAAAGGGCTATCTGTGCTCTGCCTACCACAGGTATCGAAACCCAGTTTCTAGCAAAAATACCACGATGCCACTGGGTGGCGTTAAAAAATGAAAATTCTGGAACAAATTCTGAATTCTGCATGCAAAACTGATATGAAAAAAAAAAAACAGCGTAAAAAATTAATATTTAATCCAATGACCTAAACAGACGTATGAAGAAAAAGACGTGTGTTATACATTGCGCTGTTAAAATATCTTACTGATTAGGTTAGTATTTCTTTCTGAACCAATGACAGACACCCAACAACTAGAGGTTTTGACTTACAGAGAGCAGACCGATGACGTTGATAGAGCAGTCTGGTCAAGGTCAACACGCTCTAACATGAAATAACAGTAAAGCTTGCTTTAAGATTACATGTTCTATATTCTTTCATCGAGACATACACGTACACGTAGTCCTTGACCATATATTACATAAATCTTCTTGACGAGTTTACATTTAGGTAATAAGAGGACGAACGGTTTGTTTGTTGTTAAGCGCAAAGCTACACTATGGGCTATCTGTGCTGTGCCCACCACTGATTTTTAGCTTTATAAGCCTTCAAACTTATCGTTGAGCCACTGGGGGCGCTACGGTTGGTTAAGCCGAATAGCGTCTGATCGTGTAATTTAAAAACGAAAATTATAATTTAAATTATTACATAAGTGATTTTCATTATTCATCACGTGAGCTTAAGAATTAATTTTTCAGCAATAATTTTGTTTTGGTATATGTGAATAACATTAAACGACGCACCTACCACGCGCTAATATTTAATCTCTTTTACTAATAAAAAATTTAAACTTTCCTGAATTTAAACTTTTGTTGGTACGATAACTTAAGACAGATATGTTCAACTTTAAGGTGTCTTGTTTTATAAAGATTTTCTTTGCCGATAGCTTAAAGATTTCGTCTTTAAGCTGTTTATTTGTTTGTAATTAAGCACAAAGCTACACAATGGGTTATCTGTGCTCTGCCCACCACGGGTATCGAAACCCGGTTTCTAGCGTTGTAAGTCCGCAGACATACCGCGTGCCACTGGGGGGCGTCATCTTTAAGCGGTTGAGAATCCACTGATTGGTCTAGAAATCAATTAGGAAAAGATTTTATGCGCTAAAGGAAAGTACCCCTGTGGAACAGCGGTAAGTCATCGGGTTTACAATACTAAAATCAGGGGTTCGATTCCACCCGGTAGACCCTGCAGATAGTCCGATTTGGTTTTGCTATAAGAACACACGCTAAAGAAAGAGCTATATAACAAAATGTTTTAAGCTATTTTTTCGCGAAATTAAAGTATATTTGAGTGCTTTTTTGATTATACGATACAGTCAATTATTTGATAGTCGAGTGGAATATGCGGAGTTTTACGGAGATTGAAAATGCACGTAAACAGTGACGCCAAGCTAAGTCCTTGAAATATAGAGTGTGCGTGTGTTAACGAGCCAAGTATTGATTACCGAAAACGAAGTTATTTTTTGTTTTATCTATACACTCGTCTGTCATTAGAGGCTTCTCGGTGCCTCACACGGAATACTGTGTTTCCTTATAGAGTATAATATATAAAATATTTGAAAGAACACATGAGTGAAAGCAAAACAAAATATGTTATAATATGTCAACCACACTACATTT